ATTTTAGGCAAATAAAGCAAAAAAATAGCAGCTTAAGCTGAAACTTATCAAGTTGAGAAAAACCATTCCTAATCTTAATGTGCGACTGATTACCAGGAATCGATTCGTTCTATTTTAAAAACGACAAGAGTGGCTGGTATGGGGTTTGAAGCAGGATAAGGCAGGATTATAGTAGTCACAGCAGGAACTTTTGTTGTGTTGCTATGTATGACGTTATCTATCCGACTTAAACTTGCTGTATCTTAAAAGCAGCAAGTGTTGCTGGGATGAAACTTAGAGCAGGATGCAACAGGGCTATAGCAGCGTAAGCAGGAACCAGTTTTCGCAATTCTGCTTCTCATGTGATTCCAACTGGGAAGTCAGCAATCAAAATAACAGTAATTATAGCTCAAAATTGGTAGATGCACTGAACCAAAAGTCGACATAAATATTATGAAAAAGTTCATTAATATAATGAATTAAATCATTAATTTTGAGCCGATGAACGATTTCATTGGCACAATAAAAAGTAATTCATTAACTCTATGAACTTTAAGTTCATTAAATCAATGAACAGTGTTCATTAATTTAAAGAACACATTCATTGGTACAATGAACAAATTTTATTAATATAATGTACTTAAACCCGTATATTAATGAACCGTATCATTAATACAATGAAATAATTTCATAACCTATTTAGTTATACATTTAAAAGTCGACACTATTAGTAACTCTTGTTATACCGTATAATCGATGATGAAGATCGCTGTCATTGATATAAAATGTCATTGATAGTCATTGCCCAGTCAACTACCTAAAATAATTCTACTCTAAATAGATTTCCATTTGAACAAGCCCTTAGCTACAAAGGTAACAAAATTACCAGTAGTGCCGACTTACTTACGAGCACAGTAAATTTTTCCATTACAAGTGCAATAAACTAATAATAATTTATTAAACTCGATATAGCATATACAAATTAAAAATTAAAAAAATCGAATCGACGAAGAGAATAGTAATGTTATTATTAATTTTAGGGTAAATTATAATAAGAAAATTAATTTACCAGTCGATATCCTGATTTCTATAAAAAGGCCATTTTTATAAAAAGACCATCAAGTGGGTCCCATGTTAAATTGTCGAATTTGAGGGCTTGAAGGCAGGTCTCATTATCTTCTTCCGGTTCTAAAAGACGCATATCAAAGTAATTAAAATGCCAAATATTAAAAGAACATTCAAATTTACCATAATCAGTTCCATGCCTCGACTTGTTACTACGTTTTTCTTCTTTTTGTTTTTTATCTTCTGAAACATATTTGGAAACCGCTGTTTTAATGAATTTTCATGAATGTACCCACACCAGAGATCTCACACAGCGGAATTTGATTTGACAACACAACAAATTAACTACAATACGATAGGACTTTTATTTAAATTATTTAAAATATTGAAGAGAACACTTACCGCTCTAATGAAACTGAAGCCTCACTGAATAACTCAATCACACAGACGTTATTAAAGTGACTTATTAATTTACAACCAAAGTAAACGATCAAGATGGCCACCATTTAAGTCCTAATATTTTATTCCTGATATTAATAACCGCGTACATTAATATAATGTAGTGTGTTCCTTGTATTAATAACATTGTTCATTGTCACAATGTACAACTCATTAATCAATGATTTAGTACATTAATATAATGAATATGTGTTCATTAAAGTTTCAGCTTCAGCATTAAAACAAAGAACGCATTCATTGGGACAATGAACGCGTTCTTCATATTAATGGAAATCTTACATTAATTTAATAACCAGATTTTCATTATATTGATGAAACTAGATTCATACTATTAATAAATCAGGCATTGATCTATGATTAACAAATCATTAATATAATGAAAAAAATCATTGTCCCAATGAAAGAACAGTTAATAATCAATGTTCATTAATATTATGAACAATATTATTTTCAGTGTGCAGCTGGGTTGGGATTTGAAGCAGGATAAAGCAGGATTGTAACAGCCCAAGCAGGATCGTATTTTATAATTCCTGCTTTCAATAAGTTGCTAACTTCCCCGATCTGTATGGCAATATGTATGTATCTGCAAGAGACTAAGCTGAAACATTTTATGCTCTATTGGAAAAGTACATTTTTTATTTTAGATTGTTTCTTAAAAGGTGGTACCTTTACAATACCAAAACATACTTAATTAATTTTGCAACGCCAATTTAATATCATCCTATCTCGATTACACCCATTTAATTTATTGTTTATGTATTAATTTGATTAATAAATTTCGGACGGTTTAATCATAAACTAAATTTAATCACCTCGAGGTTATTTTTTTTGCGCTGCATACATGATTCTTTTCGATCATATCTATAACGAGTTTGATCGGAAATTAAACATTTCTAGACAGATCGAGTGATAAGAAAAATTACTTTAATTACTAAATAATTAAATACATAATAATTTTAATTGGGCCGTAATAATTTATTTCTTAATTTCAGTTCTGCCGATTAAAAGGCAGTGATACCGGCACGATAGAAATCTAATTCAGCCGAGGAAAGTAAACTAACTCTGTGTTATGGGTTGTTAGTGGTCGGAAAAATAGCTCCGAGCAAGCGAACAGAAGCCGATAATTATTGTACTTTTCTATCGATAATCATGCTCCGCTTGATCTTGGATCTATGTAATTATTCTGCAGGTAATAAATGTTTTGTTGTTTTTACATTAGTACCACAAGATGAGGATTGAAACTATACAGGGTGAGTTTCCTACGATATTCATTATGGGTATCTCGGAAACTACTGGAGATAGAGAGTCGGTTAAATGGGGAAAGAATTGCAGTTTTGTGGGGTCACAAATATGCGCCTTTCAGATTTTTGAAAAAGTTCATGGCTTACTAGATATTTCGAAAAAAAACAAATTTTGGCTATTTTAAAAATTGTCCCTAATTCCATTATAATCTGTTTTAGACAAAAAGTTTTCAGATAAAAATTGTAGATAATCTCATCCCTAATGAGTTTGTGTTCTCAGATTTTTTCTAAAGCCTGTCATTTTAGACATATGACACAAACATATCTTTTTTTAAATGGAAACCATAGTTGGCCATGACTTCATAAAAAGCGTAATTTTTTAAGCTTTTCAGCGATATAATCTATAATATGTTTTTTTTCAAAAAGTTACTGAGTTATATCCAATTTTTATCTTTCTTGACTAATTTCACTTAGTTGGCATGGTGTTCTTATTTTGTTATGATTTATAACTTATAAAAAGACAAAATATATCATTAAACGGCTCTTTACAATTTACGTTACACAAACTAAAGCTTAAAAAAATAATATCACTACATACACTTTAAGTTATTTTTGAAAATGTTCAAAAAATTCGCCATTGTTTTGAGTACAAAAATGCATCTTTTTAAAATTGACTTTCTAGCTATTCTCACAGAACGACCGGTCGACTTAATTAAACTTCTCCTGTACTGCCTCATCGAATGACTCTCTCAATTCATAAGTTCTTTTGTAAACCTTGTTGTTAACCATACCGCATAAAAAAATCTAAAATGGATAGTCAGGTGATCGAGGAGGCCCATGCAATTGGTCCACCTCTTTCTATCCCTGAGTCTACATAATTATGATATAAATAATTTTAACAGTTCTTTCATGTTCTAAGTTGGTTTTTGGTTTGGTTTACTTAGATATAATTAATCTTTGACAAACTTCTAGTTCTGGCAAATAGGACTGAATATTTCGTCACTGGAGTGGAAATTTAAAAAAATAAAAAGTTATTATTTTGTTCACTGCAACTGGGTTAGAATCCAAACAGAAACCAGCTTCTTAGTCCCAGTGAATTTTTACTTCTAAACTAATATGCCCTAATCAATAAAAATATTTAACGATATACAAGGGAACAAACCAACACTTTTGTGTAAAGGTAAATTGTGTGCAATTAACTTATTTTGACTCAAAAAATACGTAGTTCTTCTATGTCCACGGAATATTAATCTCCCTATGTACAGGGTGTCCCATTTTCTTTGAAATCATACGGTATCTCCGTTATTCGTGAAGATAGTAGTAAATTTTCATAACCCTCTTCGTTTCTGAGCTACACGGTCTTTTCGAAAATTTTGCAATTTGGGACAGCCCCCGTATCTCCGTTATTATGGATGATATGGAAAAGGTAAAAACTGATTCTTGTAGAACTTTTTACGTAGAATACAGTGGCGTAGTCTGCTATTCTACGAAAAGAATATTTTTAAAGATATGAACAAAAGTTATGTTTTCTTAAAAGGAACACCCTGTATGTTTATAAATTATATGATCTGGTTTGCCATAAGCTTTTCAAAAATATATATCATTCTATATTTATTTTTACTATTTAGTACAATATTTAAAAAAATATATTAAAAGATCAAATATATTAGTAGGCCATGATTGATAATAAAAGAAAGAAAAGAATTATTAAAAATACATATACTGTCTTTTGTTTTATTTTGAGAGCCACTAATAAATTCTTTATATATTAGGGAAATCTCTATCGCTGTTCGTAAATCTTGGAAGCTATCGTATCGGGACTTTTAAATATTCCTTTAGCTAATTTATGGGAAATAAACTTTCAGCAAGATGGAGCTTCCCCTCACAACTTAACTTACAACGAAAATATTAGAATTTTGTTAAATTATTATTTCTCAAATCAATGAATTGGAACCAATGGACCCATCCGGTGGCTTCCTTTATTTCCGGATTTGTTTGTTCTCGATTTCTGATTTTGGGGATTTTTGAAATATGAAATATATCCTGGCAACTAACACAATGTCGGACACCTGCAAAATGCTTTAATATAATGGAAGCTTTTAGATATTTGCAAACCCATCCCGTTATAATAAATTCCAATATAAAAAAAGAAAAATATACTCAGCGATTCAGGGGTAACAGTTCAAAAGTAAAATATATCAATTCCAAATAAAATTTTAATATTTGTATGACTATTTTTGTTCGGATTTTATGATTTCTGTAATATGAATCGCCTCGGGATTCAAGAGGTTTCGAAGAGAGGGCGCTACCGTAGTCGGTCGACAAGGGTCGATTTCGCTTGCGACGCTTGAAAAAGAAGATGGCTGCGAACCTCAGCAAGAAAGACATTTTTTCAGTTAAAAGTAAAAATTTGTTGTTACATTTACAAGTAAAATAAAGAATTATCTATGGTCCTTCGAGCTATCATTTTAAGGTGACCCCAACCGCAACATTTTGGTCCAAACGAGCCGGATAAGTGCCATTTTGATCATTTTAAAAACTGGATATTGCCGGGCTAGAAACGAGCCTTTTGTCACGAACTGGAAGAACATCCATGGTGGCCGGCTAGCAACAAAACGCAAGAAGTGAGTCTGTCCCTATCTATTTCCTTATTTTCCTATTCATGCATGCTGTGCTCGACTAATAATGTTTATAATATATTCATAGTAAATTCAGTAGTTTTTCAAGTTAATAAAGACTAAAGACGATAAAGTTATATAGTTATACAGATCGGTATACGTAGATTTGTCATAAATAATTGATCAAGGTTATTTTCTTAAGAGTTTTAATACGGGAGATTTTATTAAGAGTCCCACTACTACGGGATATTCTCTTAAGGGTCTCACTACTACGAGATATTTTATCAACGGCTTCATTACATATTTAACAAAAGAATCATATTGTATAATTTAATTTAAGGGTATTTTTTAAGTTTAAGGTACCACAGAAATAATATTTAGTAACTTAACGATTTATTGTGAGTGTAATTGAAAAAACAAATTGATAATAAGATAACATTGCTATAAATTTAGTAAAAAGAATATACTGCAACAGAAGAAGCTATAGAATTGTGTTAAATATTATAATTTATATTGCAATAGGTAAGATTTGAAATGGCTGAAGCAATAGATCTCAGAAGGTTAAGAACTAGGCGAGGTCAGTTGAGAGGCATAGCCACTCGGTTTCAAAGTTTTATGTCTAACATGCAGGATGTTCTAGAAGTAAAAACTAGGTTGGAAAAAGTAGAGTCCGCGTTTGTAGAGTTCGATCAAGTTCAGTCCGAATTAGAGCTATTAGATGAAGAAGAAACAGAAGTTAGAGAAGAAATAGAAAATGTATTTTACAAAGCTATTTCTACAGGTAAAAATGCATGCGTTGATGCTAATATTAATTCACAAATATTACATACACCTCAAAATCCAGTAAGTAACATAAAGCTACATCCTATAAATTTTCCTATTTTTAGCGGAGGTTATGAGAATTGGATTAATTTTAAGGATACTTTTAATTCCTTAATAGATAATAATGTATCATTAGATGCGATTCAAAAATTTCATTATCTGAAATCTTGTCTTCGAGAAGACGCAGCTCAGATTATAAGTTCTTTAGAGGTAACTAGTAGCAATTATTCAATAGCTTGGAAATTGTTACAAGAACGTTATGAAAATCAAAGATTAATAATTCATAATTACATTAAAACTTTATTTGAAATATCTCCAGTTCAGAAAGAATCTTGTAAAGATTTAAGAAATTTATTAGACACGTTTTTGAAAAATATTAGAGCCTTACATTCACTAGGACAACCCACAGATCAATGGGATACACTCTTAATTTATTTATTAACATCTAAACTCGATTATAACACAAGAAAAGAGTGGGAATGTTCATTAAAGAGTAACAATTTGCCTACTATGGTCAACTTAACGGATTTTCTAAAGCAAAGATGTATGATATTAGAAACAATAAATGTAAACAAAACAAAATCAGATATATCTATTTCATACAGAAAAGGCCATGATAATAAGAGTCATTCTTTTGCCACAACTCAAAACTCCAGTTTTTCATGCTATTATTGTAATCAACCTCATCCTATTTATAGATGTCAATCATTTTTTAAACTTAATTTAGAGAATAAACATAAAGAAATTAAAAAATTAAAATTATGTGCAAACTGTTTAAAACCAAATCACGCTACAGATCAGTGTCAATCTCTTAGAACATGTTTTAAATGTAACCTAAAACATCATACGTTATTACATGACTATTCGAGTAACAAAACAAATGTAACTTCCTGTTCTCATTGCGCATGTAATAATAAAATACCAACTGAAGTTTCTGAAAATGAAAAAGATAATAGTGAGAATCAATCTTCATTAAATTTATCTTCTACTGCTGCTCATTCTTTATCAAATTATGTCATGTTATCGACAGCTGTTATATATATAAAAGATAAATTTGGAAATTTGCATACCTGTCGTGCTCTTTTAGACTCAGGTAGCCAAAGTAATTTTATTACAAAGTCATTAGCAGAAAAATTACAGTTAGATCAAAATCATACTAACATTTCAATATCTTGTATTGGTAAAAATAATACTAATATTTCAAAAGCAGTAAATTCTACAATAAAGTCAATGTACGGTTCATTTACAACTAATTTAAGTTTTTTCATAATTTCTCAGATTACTGAAGAGATACCTCAAATAAAATTTGATATAAGTCATATTAAAATTCCAGATAATATACAACTGGCTGATCCAAAATTTAATATTCCAAATAATATAGATATTCTTATAGGCGCTTCAATATTTTATGACTTAATAATGGGCGAATCAATAAGTTTAGGTACAAAACAGCCTACATTAAGAAAAACTAAGTTAGGTTGGATATTGTCAGGTATCATTCACAATAAACAAGTAAATAAACAAATATGTAATTTATCTTTAAATAAACAATTGACACGATTCTGGGAAATAGAAGAAGTACCATTTAAAAAACATTTTTCCCTTGAAGAACAATATTGTGAATCATACTTTAAAGAAACTACCACACGTAACGAAGATGGTAGATTTATTGTCAAGCTACCACATAATGATTCAGTTAATAAACTTGGGGATTCTAAGGCCATCGCTTTAAAAAGATTAAATCAAATCGAATTGAAATTTGAAAAGGATCAAACATATAAAACACTTTATAATGAATTTTTAAAAGAATATTTAGATATGGAGCATATGACACTAGTAAACACAGATTCAGATAATATTGATCATTGTTTTTATTTACCTCATCATGCTGTTAGAAAGGAAGACAGCAGTACCACAAAATTAAGAGTAGTTTTCGATGGTAGTGCGATTACAAATACAGGAATATCATTGAATAATTGTTTGCATGTAGGCCCAACTATACAGGATGATTTATTTGATATAGTAATTCGGTTTAGAACGTATCCTATAGTATTTACTGGTGACATCGCGAAAATGTATCGCATGGTTTTAGTACATCCTGAGCATAGGAATCTACAAAGAATTCTTTGGCGTGAAAATGATAATGAACCTGTTCAATCTTATACGTTAAATACTTTAACTTACGGTACAGCTCCAGCATCATTTTTAGCCATTCGATGTCTCCATGAATTAGCATATCAAAATCAACATAGATATCCTGAAGCTTGCAATAAGATACTTAAAGATTTTTACGTAGATGACTTACTAACCGGTACTAATACGGTAAAGGATGCACTTAAATTAAAAAACGAGATATATGAGATTTTAAAGTCCGGTGGATTTGAATTACGAAAATGGTCATCAAATTCACGAGCCTTTGTTGAAGATATAAATTCTAATTCTACTCATTTATTTTCAGATAAAACAGATTTTAAGTTACTAGGTTTAATTTGGGATTCAAAAACAGATATACTACGATACTCAGTAAACGTGAACTATAATAAAACAAATATTACTAAAAGGCAAATTTTATCATTAATATCACAAATATATGATCCTCTGGGATTGATTGGCCCAGCTACTATAAAAGCTAAGATTATTATGCAAAATTTGTGGCAATGTGAGATAAATTGGGACGATCCAATTCCATCAGACATAGCTGAAATCTGGCAAGATTTTAGTAAACAATTAAATTCATTAAATGATATTTCAGTGCCTAGACATGTATTATGTAATTCTTCAAATTATGTTGAACTTCACGGTTTTTGTGACGCCTCCGAGAGTGCATATGGCTGTTGTATCTACCTACGATCATTAACTAATTTCGGAGAATGTACAGTGAGATTATTGTGTGCAAAATCAAAAGTAGCACCACTCAAACGAATAACTTTACCTAAATTGGAATTGTGTGGAGCTTTACTTCTGGCTAAGTTAACAAAACGAGTTCTTAGATCTTTAACGGTAAACATAGAAAAAACATTTCTTTTTACTGATTCCAGCATTGTATTATCATGGATATCGACAGAACCATGTTATTTAAAAACATTCGTCGCCAATCGAATTGCGGAAATTACCGAATTAACGTCAAAAGATAAATGGTATCATGTAAAGTCAGAATTAAATCCTGCTGATATTATTTCGCGAGGCACAAATCCAAACATTTTAAAAGATAAAAAATTATGGTGGTGCGGTCCTAATTTTTTAAATGATAATGCCAAGCCGTTCTCAAGCAGAACTCCTGACTACAGAGATAGTAATGTACCAGAAATGAAAAGAACTGTAGCTTTAGTTTCAAATACTGCTGAGATATCTAATATCTTTACTAAATTTTCTTCCCTAACAAAGCTTAAACGCGTAATTGCATATGTTTTACGTTTTAAAAACAACGCTTTATGTAAAGATAATAAAATTTCAGGTCCTCTTAGAGTAAATGAGTTAAACAAAGCTATGACTATTCTAATTAAGATTGTACAATTTCAAGAGTTTGCTGACGATATAAAAAATCTTACTTCTAAAATTAAACTGTCCAATTCTAGCAAGCTGTTGAATTTGAATCCATTTTTAGATGAAGATGGTATTATTAGAGTCGGCGGAAGATTAAAACATTCGCATTTAAGTTATAATCAGAAGCATCCGACAATATTACCTACAAAGCACACCTTCACAGAACTGTTAATATTACACACTCATTTACGATATTTACATATGGGTACTCAAGCACTTCTAGCTACAATTCGTTTAGAATATTGGCCATTATCAGGGAAAGTTGCCGTCAAGCGCATCTTGCGGAAATGTATTAAATGCTTTAGAGCTAAACCAAAGTCTGTAACTCAAATAATGGGAGATTTACCTTCCGATCGTTTTTCAACATTAAGACCATTTTATAAGTGCGGTGTAGATTACGCAGGTCCTTTATATATTAAAAATAGTACTTCTAGAAAAGCAAAAAATGTAAAAGCTTATATATGTTTATTTATTTGCCTATCAACAAAGGCAGTTCATATTGAACTAGTGCGTGATCTCTCAACTGATGCTTTTATAAATTCTTTAAAACGGTTTATATCACGAAGAGGTAAACCTTCTGACATCTATTCAGACAATGGAACAAATTTTCGAGGTGCAGCTAGAGAGTTGCAACAATTATATAGTTTCCTTTCTGATAAGTCAGTTAATGAAGAAATTTTGAATTTCTTGGGACAGGATAAAATTTCATGGCATTTCATTCCGTCAAATTCGCCGCATATGGGAGGTATTTGGGAGGCCGCGATCAAATCAGCCAAGTATCATATAAAACGCATATTATCTCAAGCATATTTAACTTTTGAAGATATGTACACATTATTGGTTGAAGTTGAAGCATGTCTGAATTCTAGACCCCTTACCCAAATATCCAATGATCCCCTAGATTTCTCCTTGCTTACCCCAAGTCACTTTCTTATTGGAGACTCTTTATTGGCCATACCTGAAACCAACATCATTGAAGCAAATGTTTCACGTTTGAATCATTACCAAAGGTTGAAACAAATTCATCAACACTTTTGGCAAAGATGGTCACGAGAGTATTTGTCTACATTACAAACCAGATCCAAATGGAAGACCAGTCAACAAAATAATCTAAATATTGGGCGTTTGGTCATCCTGAAGGAAGAGTCATCACCACCTTTACAATGGACGAGAGGCCGAATAGTCGACATTCATCCAGGATCCGATGGACTTGTGCGCGTCGTTTCTGTGAAAGTGCCGAACGGTCGCATAGTTAAGCGGTCTATTGCTAAAGTTTGTTTAATGCCAGTCGATTAAAAGTTCGAAACTTTTAAGGTGGCCGGTATGTTCGGATTTTATGATTTCTGTAATATGAATCGCCTCGGGATTCAAGAGGTTTCGAAGAGAGGGCGCTACGTAGTCGGTCGACAAGGGTCGATTTCGCTTGCGACGCTTGAAAAAGAAGATGGCTGCGAACCTCAGCAAGAAAGACATTTTTTCAGTTAAAAGTAAAAATTTGTTGTTACATTTACAAGTAAAATAAAGAATTATCTATGGTCCTTCGAGCTATCATTTTAAGGTGACCCCAACCGCAACAATTTTAGTAAATACCATTTTGATTTTTTGTTATTTATCAAGGCCTACTAATAAGAAAATGATATATTTTAAATATTGCACTATATAGTGAAAATAAATATAAAGTGATATATATTTTTGAGAAGCTCATAGCAAGGCGGATCATACGATTTATAAATATACAGGGTGTTCCATTTGAAAAAACATAACTTTAGTTCATATCTTCGAAAATATTTTTTTCGTAGAAAAACAGACTACGTCACTGTATTCTACGTAAAAAGTTCTTCAAGAATCAGTTTTCACCTATTCCATATCGTCCATAATAACGGAGATACGGGGGCTGTCCCAAATTGCAAAATTTTCGAAAAGACCCTGTAGCTTAGAAACGAAGAGGGTTATGAAAATTTTGTTGACAGCATCTTCCGTTTGACAAAAAAGTGGGACAGGTTTGTGCAAACCGCATCCTCCTATCTTTACTAATAACGGAGATACCGTATGATTTCAACCAAAATGGGACACCCTGTATATCGTAGGTCTGCTTTGCAAAAGTAAATTCTCCAAAAAAAAAATTCTCATTAACTATGTGATGTGGCGTTTTTTTAAAAGAGTCGAAAAATGTAGTAAATACTAGAGGGACCATTTTATGAAAACAAAAATCTGTCTTCGGTGGAGTTGGAAAATATTTATACTAAAATTTATGTAGGGGAGTGGATAGTTTTCACCCTTCCCGTACTTTTTCTTGGGGGAGGGGGGGTGGTGGTGGTGTGTATTATGAAAGTCATGGTTGAAACCACTCTATTAATGGGAGAGTATTTAAATTTAACTATTTTAATATGTCTTCAAAACCGTTTTCTAAAAAACGAAAGTAACCTTCACCGGTCAACATATTCTCGAAACTGTATGGCCAAGAAAAGTTGAACCAATGATCCTACACGCTTTTCTTTATTTGAAAAATTCATATTTACAATTTTTGTTTATTTTAACAGACAGTTTCACATTTCTGAGAGCAACGACGATTGAACTTGTTTCCATGGCTAACTATGTTAAACTATAGTCAAGAAAAATAAAAATTGGTTATAACTCAGTAATTTTTCGAAAAAAAAGTATTATAACTTATATCGCTGAAAAGCTTAAAAAATTGCGCTTTTTATGAAGTCATGGCCAACTATGGTTTCCATTTAAAAAAACATATGTTTGTGTCATATGTCAAAAATGACAGGCTTTTGAAAAAATCGGAGAACACAAGCTCATTAGGGATGTGATTATCTACAACCTTTGTCTGAAAACTTTTTGTCTAAAATAGATTATAATGGAATTAGGGACAATTTTTAAAATAGTCAAAATTTGTTTTTTCGAAATATCTAGTAAGCCATGAACCTTTTCAAAAATCTGAAAGGCGCATATTTATGACCCCACAAAACTGCAATTCTTTCCCCATTTAACCGACTCTCTATCTCCAGTAGTTTCCGAGATACCCATAGAGAACATCGTAGGAAACTCACCCTGTATACAGCGGCAGCTCTCGGGATCCCTAGAACAAAAAAAGGTTATAATTTTTTATTAATAGAATAATTATCATTACAGTTGAGGGTTGGAACCTTTGATGTTTCAACAGTAAAAAAGGATACTACACTCAGATGTTAAAAACGCAACAGAAATTTTTGGTCAAATTTAAAGTGTTATATTTTTGTTATTTTTAGCCCTATTTTTATGAATTTTTTAGCACGCTGTATATAATTATACCACCTTTTATTCGTAAACTCAGTTTTTTTTATAAACTTTAGTATTTGGCATATTATACAGCGTTAATCGAGAGGTTGTTTTTTTACCTTAACTTTAAAACACTCTGTGCAATATTTCCTGTATAAATTTTTCTAAAATATAATTTTACGGTCAGAACCATGTCTCCTGGGCATTTTGGTTTTTCAATGATGTCAATACATGCCTTGCTTAATTTTTAAGAGCGAAATGAGTTTGCCAAGAACAATTTGCAATTTTTTCAATTATCATTTCTATTTTTAAGTTACTTTTCAATGTAACAAGACGGCTTTGGTGGTGGTGATTATTGTGAACTATATACTATTATGAACTGCTCATCATGTTCGACGTTTGGCAAATGCTTGGCAGAAGGGTTAAAGGTCGCGAAGCAGTACCAGCTTCATTAAAATGAACTTCGCTTGGTCCTTAAAGAATGGGAAAACATAACGCAATATGATATATGCAGCCTCAGTGACAGTATGAACGGACATATACAGGCAGTTATAGCACCAAAAGGCGGCAATACGAAGTATTAGGGTATTTTTTACAATTTTTTTTTCTGTTTGTATACTTCAGTATTACACATGTTTTCTTTAATATCGTATCTGTTACCGTTATTAATGTTTATTAAAACCCGGACTGTATCGTTAGTATTTTTACGTTTTTTTTTTAAATTTAGTATAGAGTATCCAATGCAGTGAAATATGATGTTACGACAATAGTCACCAAAACCATCTTGTCATATTAAAAATTAACATTAACCAAACCAAAACATGTATTGACATGGATCAAAAAACATAATGCTCAGGAGTCATGGTTCTGGACGTATAATTATTTTTTAGGAAAATTTCTAGACGAAATTATTGCACAGGGTGTTTTAAAGTTAGCGTAAAAAACAACCCCTCGATTAACCCTGTATAATATGCCAAATACTGAAGTTTATAAAAAGCTGAGTTTATGAGTTAAATCTGATATAATTATATACAGCTTGCTAAAAAATCATTAAAATAAGGCTAAAAATAACAAAAATATAACACTTTAAATGTGACCAACATTTTCTCCATTGCGTTTTTGTTGCATCTGAGTGTACCTAATTCACACAAATGAATGGAGAGATGCCATAGACTTAAAATAAAATATAGACTGAGCATCTCATTCATAAATAGCTGGAACATGCGGTCAGACACTGTCTTGTTATTGTTGTGTTATTGTTTTAGGTTATAACGAGTGCGACACGAGCGATAGATAGGTTGTCTCTGTCGTAACGGTCGTTCCCTGACGACTCTGCCGAGAAACACAATACTGTCTTTCGTTTCTCAAGTACACCTGAATTCTCCGTATCATAGCCGGGTAATTTTTTTATTTTAATGAAGCTATAATTAAATTAAAAATATATCGTATTTAAACTTTTTTATATTTTATTAAGATTTAGGACAGGTTTTTAAATAAAAGTTTAGAAAAAACAATTTAGAGTCCAAAAGGATAAAAATAATAAAATACACGTTATAGAAGAAATTTTATAATCGAAATTACGTAATTTTTGAAATTAATAATAAATTATTAATTTTAGTCAAACATTACAACCCCTAATATTAATCAAAACAGGATCTATTCCACAGATATAATAGAATCGGCGACAGGGAGAGAAAAATAGTTGTAATTTTTTTCTGGTTAAGTGATGTCTTATTATGTAAATTAGAGAAAACATAAATCTGTTCCATTAAAGCACGGAAGGTGATAGGAAGTGGATAAAATAAAAACTACATTTATTTAACTCGGTACTGTCTTTATTATACCGGGTGCGTCTCAAAAGTAGCTCATCCCCATAATTTTTTTATATTTTCAAATAAAAAAACAAGATTTGGTATGTTAGTATATGAAATAAATTAGAATTGATTGACGCATTCAATTGTTTTTGGTCACTTCCTGTTTCACCGGAAATGACTATAACTTTTAATTTTTAAACGGCACCCTCGGTATATTTCTACTTTATTCGATAGAAAATGACACTCTGAATAGAATGACATATCATATGTCAACTTTTGACATTTTCGCATATGATTTAATTGTAATTGTAACACGCGGTTCATAACGACAATTTGACTCAAAATACCAAGTGTGTGGTATCAATATATTCATAAAAAAATGCTTTTTCCAAATATGCTAATGAGTCACCCTTGTTCCATTTGAAAAAAATGACATATGTATGATTAAAAATACGATTTGTACATCTTTTAACCGGCCTATACAAGACACGAAACCTATTAGATGATCAAAACTATTTTTCCAAGGCTCCTTGATTAAAACTTAGTGTTTTAACAACACCATGGCACCCTGGATTGAAATTTAAAATACGATTTGTTTTTAAGCGACAATGTCAAAAGTTGGCATATGATATGTCATTCTATTCAGAGTGTCATATTTTATCGAATAAAGTAGCAATATACCGAAGGTGCCTTTAAAAATCAAAAGATGTAATCATTTCGGTGAAAAAGGAAAAGACCAAAAACAATTGAATACGTCAATAAATCCTAATTTATGTCATATACCTACTAACATACAAATCTGTTTTTTTTTATCTGAAAAAATAAAAAAGTTATAGGGGTGAGCCACTTTTGAGATGACCCAGTATATTAAAAAATATTGTTTCATAATGTAATATCATTTTAAAATTCTTGTATGTTATTTTAGATTCTGAAGATAATTTTAGAATAAACCGGAATATATTTTTAATAAAAACATTATTAATTATTAACAGGGTTATAATTATGATTTTGTTACAATGTAAGTAAGTAAATAATGTAATGTAAGAGAAAAAAATCAGATTTTACATTTTACTAAAATATTATCTAAATAAGCGCCTTTCTACAACAACGCCACTGACTCTCAATGGGTAAATTGAGAGTTGCCTACCGGTCGAAAGTCGTTTCAAGACTTAAAATGGATAATTTAAGTCAAATTTCTTGCAAATTTGGCACTGGCGAACCATATTTTATAGTTCTTGAACAGAAAATGTCAATAAAATAAACACTTAAGGACTACAAGCTAAGAAAATGCGTTAATACAGCCGGGGA